GTGTGTCGGCCTTCATAGGTGCTCGCCAACAGCACTTGCCCCCAACGTCCGCTGAGGCTATACGGGGGAGCTTTGTCTTTGCCCCGCGTGACAGAGAGAGCAGCTGACCGACTAAGATGCTCTAAACCTGCCCGCTTTGCCTGGCTGGCCTCTCTTTTTGATGTGCAGTGAAACAGGGACATTTCCCGAAACGTCGCTCATATATATTGACCTTTACAGCGACAGGGTGTTTTTGACGCGTGCGTTGAGGGATTATTGTTTGTCTGTTAATGGTGCCCGTGCGATTTTTGACACCCGTGATGGGTTTGCTATTTACAAGCACAGTGTTTGCATGTGCGTGTTGTTTGATCATCGTGAGGATTCTGGAGGGGTTTTTGAGGATTGGCTGAACGATTACAACTCTCTCCAAACTCTTATAACCGGCGCACGGTACGTGCGGGGACTGGCCTACAACAGACCCACAGTTAATATACACCGCCCACCCTTCAAATAACCATTCGGGTTGTGATACTTTTATTATTATAATAATAATAGAGCAAGGCGAAGCTGATGTTGGTGTGCGGACGCATGTGTGGGTAGAACTCTGTTCTGTGTCTCCACATATAGAATTTAGACGGGATGTAAGTCCCCATCGGCCTTTCGATCGGCTTTACAGACAAAATATTTTCCAGCAGGATTTGTTCACGCAAGCGATGGCCGGACTTGCTTTTGTATGCACGTTGAACTTCTTTCGCACCGTACGTAGCCAGCCGTGCTAATCGGATGTTGCGGTGGTGGGGTGGGGGTAGTAGACAACAAACTGAACACAACAACAACAACAACAAACTGAACACGTCTGGGTTTAGTCATCAGAATCGGGCTTGCCGCACAAATGCTGCTGGGTTAGCAGACGCTACCGTTGCTTTACATGCGATGTCTCATACGACTTCACCCGCACATTGCCCGCGATAACACGAGTTCCTTACAACGGGGCCCGTGTGATCGCGTCTGCGACGGCGGCGCGATCCATTTATAGATACCCCCCCCGCCACGCCACGCCACAGCGCTGTGCGGCGAAGTGCGTGGAGGAACACAACACGGTTCATTCATGCGTGACGCTCCCTGCCCCTCCCGCCAATCTCAATGCGCGCATTGTGAAGCCCCCACCACCACCACCACACCACCACCACCCCTTGACGGCTCTCTTCTTGATGCACGTGGTCGAAGGCCGCCGCTCTCGCGACATCCAATCGCCCGTGGAGGAGGAGGCGAAGGGCGCTCCGTTCGACGTAGGTGGGATGTCTGCAAATGGATCGCCGCTTGGAAATCGGTGTCGAGAATGAGCGTGTGCGTGGTTGATGTAGGTGCGTATTGTTCAATTAAGACGTGAGCATATATATGTAAAGGACAACTATATACAAACACGTGGCGTGAATATAGTTGTCCTAAATACGTATTAGAGTGTAACACCTCCATTTACGTTGGCCTGTTATTTGACTATAAAAGACTACAGCTATTGAAATTTAAACAAATAGCAGCGTGTATTATGAAAAAGTACGTTGAAGTTTTACTTTGGTTCAGGCTACAGGCTGTGTATTGGGCTTATAGATTGTTGTTGGGGCAACGCTTGTTTACAGATGGCAACATGCATGACTACAATAGGCCTAACATCTCAATGCAGGATATTCTTGAAAACGTCTTAAGACGACTTCCCAGATAAACATTATTACTATAGTACTGTATTGGGTACAGGGTATGGGGTGCAGCGGTGGTGCAGTGGTTAGCGCACTATGCTATGAACCCGACAACCTGAGTTCGATTCCCAGCCGTGGCTAACATCCATCAGTGGCGATTGGACCCACCTTTTCATCAGCCCATACGATATTGACCAGCGTGGTGAAGTATGGTCAAACACCCCCCTCCCCATGATCGACACGGCATGGGGAGGCCTTCATCCAGCAGCGGTTTGACAATGGGTTGGGAATTAGATAAATAAAATAGTTTAATGCACAGACGACTCGTGGCTGCGTCTCCACCACGCCACACGAGGCCTCCGTGAGACCTTCATCACCCGAATCAATTAAGAAAATACCCCCCACTGAATCAATAAAGAAAATACCCCCCCCCCCCCCCACTGCCGTTCACGGAATACAAGACATACAATTTAGAACATTTGAAAGAGAGAGAAAAGTAAATCGCAGGTAAAATTGATCCAGTTTAAAAAGACAAACAAATCGGAAACATTTACACCGCGTTCACAGGCACACTGGCGCTCCTCTAAGTAAACAAAGGTGTTGGTTGAATATCCCCTGTGTGTGTGTGTGCCTGTACACCTATAATTACCCAAGCAACTAACCCTATTATGCCAGTCGGTGGGTAATGGGCTAAACGCTCGCGTCTAATTTGGCCGCACCGTTTGAATTTTATGAAAACCTTGAAATAAACGTGGCTCTTTGTGCGCGCGAGAGAGAGAGAGAGAAATAACAGTCATTGAGCCGGTTAAATATAGCACTGGACAGGGCGACATTTTTAAATTGCTCCATTAAAATACACGGCTAGAGGTGCAGGCTTGCAATCGCTTGCTCACTCTCCTGCTGATGGAAGGGGCCCAAACCGAAGTCGGTGGTTTGGCCTATATCCTTAGGCGCTGGCCAGGTGTGAGTGCCCACACTTAACCCCACCGCACAGCGAGCTGCCAATCCCGTTGAACTGTGGCATAACCCATTTGAAATGCTGGGGTGGACAGAGGCAAGGGGGGCGGGGGGGAAGATTTGAGAAACAACTTGCAGCTATGTTACAGGCGTGCATGATATACGTGTACACAATGAGGAATTATATTTGTCCTGAGAATTGAGATGCACTTGATGTGCCTGTAACAGACTGTAGGGGCAAGTGCTGTTAGCGAGCACCTTTGAAGGCCGCAACGGCACACGAGGGGGTGGGTGGCCAGCACCACGCCCGGCCGCCTTTGTCTCACTGTTGGCGACGTTTACACACCGCACCAGGTACTCTGTGCGTTATATATTTTAGGCATTTTAATTGCAACGAGTTACACAATGCGCAGGGTTTAAAAATTGTCTGTACAACTCCACGCAGTGAAGGGTTTAGAAGATGTTTGCCAATTACGCGAGCGTTCGGGGCGGGGGGCGAGAGCGGTGGCGCTGTGCAACAGAACATCAATTCCTGGCCTCGGCTCACATGAGTGGCGAACGATATAGCATGAAACCCGGTCCCCTTCATCAATCCAGCACGGGCCAGCGTGCTAGTAGCCGCAGTAGTAGCCGTAGATTGTGGTGGTAGAAATAAACCCCAATGCCAAAGAGTGGCGGAGGCCTTCATCCAGCAGTGGATTAACAAGAGGGCTGACATTACGCAGCAGCAGCAGCAGCAGCAACAACAGCAGCTGCTGTTGCTGCGTAATAATAATAATACACGACAGCGAATAGAGGACAATTTACCGTTGGAAACTGCTCTTTTTTTCCCCAAATGGCCAAGACTCTCCGTTTCGGAGATGCCCTCTGTTGTAGTGATTGCGTGTCTGCCCGCAGGGCACGCAGCCCCCCGTTTAAACCGCGCTTTCACAAGGGCTACTCTGTTCGGAGCGCCCGCACCAGGGAGGGATGCAGGGGGCGGGGGGGTGGTGGAAGGGGCAGGCAGAGCAGGAGGCTACTTTTGAGGCAGTGGGCGCTTTGACTTCAAGCATGCGGCTAATTTGACCGTGACTGGGCCCTCAATGGCCCAACTCTTGCGAACGGAGTCATGGGATATTACGACTGTACGGTTTGGCGCTCGGCATTCCACTTGCCTTCAATACACCCTCATCGTGATCCGGCGTCACGTACCCACCTCACAGCCCACCACCCCCGTCTGCACTGTGTGTGTGTGCGAGCGTGTGGGTGAGTGAGTGAGCACCCCCCCCCCTCCCTCTCCCCCTGTACAATTAATTAAACAAGTTCGCCGGGAGTGGAAGTTCTCATTTGTAGATCGTCAAAGAGCCGACGCATCCCCTGGATGTCGTACAGAATTCGTGATGGGGAGTAGGTGGTAATGCAGCAAAGTCATTTTTTTATATGTAGGAAAAGCAGTAGGGGGTTGGAGAGTAAGCGGCAGGCGAGAGGAGCGAGTGTATGTATGCGTTGTATTGTTCTAGCTGGCCTTTAGGTTTGCACTCAGTTAAACCGAGCGCCGTGGTCTGTACGTGCAACTACGTACACAATAGCGCGAGTGTTAAGAGTGTTTGTAATTAGCGTACAATTGCCCTATTTTGTATACACCTCCTCCTCCTCCTCCCCCACTCCACACTCGTGCAAGAAAGCATAAAGGGACTAACGAACCTATTAGCCCATTTAGCTGTTTATGATTTAGCCAAAAGGAAAATAGTATGTTCGATAATATTGTGTATGTTTGACTTCGGAGCAATGGGCAATAGATGTGATGATGCTGGAGTCTGCCACTCTATTCTGTCCCATAAAGTGATTTTCTACTCCAGAGTAATGGGCAATATATGTGACGTTCAACACCAGATTAATGGGCAATATATGTCATTTTCGATTCCGGAGTAATGGGCAATAGATGTGATGATGCTGGAGTCTGCCACTCTATTCTGTCCCATAAAGTGATGTTCTACTCCAGAGTAATTGGCAATATATGTGACGTTCAACACCAGATTAATGGGCAATGTATATCATTTTCGATTCCGGAGTAATGGGCAATAGATGATGATGTGATGTTCGACTTCAGAGTAATGGGCAATATATGGTGATGATGCTCGACTCTGCTACTCTAATCTGGCCCATAACGTGATTTTAACTCTCGCTCTGTGGTGAGGTTGGGATTTGTCAAACACGTGGAGGGGGGGGGGGGGAGTTGGCTCCGCCTGTTCTTAGACATCGGCCAATTGAGACTCTCTCGTCATTGGGCGAAACTTTGGCGAAGTGGCAGCGGTCCGGCTCCTCGATTGGCTGCTTGAGGGGGGGGGAGGGGTCACGACCACGCCCAGTGGGCGGCGGTATAAATATTGGCGGGCGTCCCGTTGGTCGCGCAGTCACAACACGTGGAGGGAGGGCAGAGGGAGGCATGCGAGTCACGTGGATCTGCTGCGAGTTTGCAAATCCCTTAGACCCCGTTATTCGAGGTTAAGATTTTAAGGATTAAAGAGCGACGTTAACAGCGACAATAACAAAACAGGTACGACGGGCGATGACAGCTCGCCGTCGGTAATGCTATCGAGGAGAAGAAGACACTTTTTTATACCACATAAATTATATTACGAGGCAAAGGTAAATTTATAAGTGTAATTAATACCGCTTTGAAATTGCAACTACATATTATTATACCAAAGTCCCGCAAGCAAATTAATTGCTAGTATAAAACAAACCGCACCGAACGTGATACAATTAACAATCATCGTCGTCGTCGTCGCAATCGGGGTCATCGATTCATCATCGGCCAGTCAGCATGTCGGATACCAATCACGAGATGTCGCGCACTCCGAGCCCGCACTGCTCCTCGGACGCCGGGTCGGGACTCGGCTCGCCGGGCCACAGCGACCCCGAGCCGGGCTCCGCCGAGCACGGCGGAGCCCGGCTCGGCGGAGGAGGAGGAGGCTCAGGCGGCTGCAGCTCCTCGGGCTCGGAGCCGTCGAGGGGAGTAGGCGCGGACGACCCCTTCTCGGAGAGCATCCAGGCGGCCGTGAGTCAAGTGCTGGACGGCTACGACTGGTCGCTGTTGCCCGTGCCCGTGCGCGGAGCGGTGGGGCCGGGGGGATGCAAGCCGGGCGAGAAGCCCCACGTGAAGAGGCCCATGAACGCGTTCATGGTCTGGGCACAGGCTGCTCGCAGGAAGCTGTCCGACCAATACCCGCAGCTTCACAACGCCGAGCTCAGCAAGACGCTGGGCAAGCTGTGGAGGTGCGAGGCAAGGCGGCGGGACGCGACGCGATGTGGGGGGATACCTCGTGACGATCCACGAGGTTTTGCTCCGTATTCTTGTACGGGCAAATTGAGTGTTCGTGGGCCGTTTCAATACGGGAGTATTGGTTTTCTTTTTCTATTTGTTTGCGTTTCTCCCTTGTGATGGGACTTTGTAGGATGAACGTTGAGATTTATAAGGGGCACTGGGTGACCAATACGGTCTGAATTGGCCTGTAATAAGGTAGGGCACTGATAACGGGGTTGACAGGTGTGTGTGTGTGTGTGTTGGTGGTGATGGTGGTTGTGGGCCCTGCGCTTGCTGCTGATGCTTCTGCAGATGCCGGGTGACGGGAGTTTGAGCACGACTCTGTGAAAACGCTGCATTCATTGCTACGGTGTTATGTTTAATCACACCGTCGCAATGAATACGGTGTATTTGCTTGGGGGAAATTGTACTGTGTTACCTTTAACAATTCGCGGTTGCTGAAATCCTTAATTTCGATCGGATCATTGGGATTTATTAGTAATAAATCGGCATTTTGCGACCCCCCCACTGTCACTGAGTAGCATATTATTACGTGCCAGGGACTCTGAGATGATAGGACAATAGTCTGAGTCCATACTTGGCAATAAGTAACGGCAAAGCAGTTATAAGTGACTCACAGAATTGTGCGCAGTTGCGTATACAGTCCACGACTTCCCTGAAGGCATTCACCTTCAGCGAGCGCGATGCCGATCACACCACGCGGTTCGAATTCGACGCTCGATCGATGGCTGCGCCATCGCCGCACACGTGTCGAATAAAAAGCAAGAGACAAGTCCTTACTAACAACTCCTTACTTACTAACAACTCCTTACTTACTAACAACTCCTTACTTACTAACAACTCTTTACTTACTAACAACTCCTTACTTACTAACAACTCCTTACTTACCAACAACTCCTTACTTACTAACAACTCCTCTCTCATTTTTCATTGCTGGAGGGGTTGCCGCCCGACCTGAAAATCCTGGCTCCGCCATTGCATACGTGACCGCTAAAGAGTCCACACGTTTTGTGACTTGAACGCGTAAGGATGTGAATTGGAACGTGGAGGGGTTTAGGTTATCCCATGGAGTTGGTGGTTGCTGGCTTTGTGACTTTTGCGTTGCCGTGTTAAGGATGTTATCGGTTGACTTTTTAAGACAAACAGTAGAGGTAAGGGGATGAAACACAATTATTTCCCAGCTTGGTATTAATGGAACTTTGTCTAATTGGACACGGGTGATTCGTTTCCAATGGAGACCCCCACCCCCCCCAACTAACATTTCAGGGATATATTTTAGGGAACACAATTTTCTTTATTAAAACCCTCCAGATGTATCGCACCGGTCTCAATACGCGCATCAATAAATAACATTTTATTTACTAAAGCACTTTATCCAAACATGCCTGTCAACAAATAATCCAATCGCCGGTTTGACAAGAAAGTAAGAATGGTAATTATAGAGCAATGTATGATCTACTATTATTTCCCCCCCCCCCTAAAATAACGATTCAACACTTTAATGAATTGGCCTTAAATACCAGGCTATATAAGCCTGTAAATATGGAATTTTAAAAATTCGGTTTTTATGAGCACGTGCGAGATATTTGACGGGTTTTTTGCTATTTAAGAACATTTCGCGATACACAGCTGCACCCCTGTGTTTAATGCTCCATCGATTTATTTTCGTTGATATCTGCCAATGTATTTCTCTTTTTCTGATGTGTACTCGTTACGTTTCTGAGTCACGGTTGGTTTCTGCCGGGTTTGCTACTCGTGTAGGTATAATGTCAATTAGTGAAACGTTTAATTACAATCAACCCTGCTCCACCCAACACATCCAATCAAAGCAGGTTGTCACGTGGGGAAAAAAAACATTTGCCTGCTTTTTAACAATTCGGTTTTGCCAATAAACCGAATAAATGTGCCAACTGCCAACCTGATTTGATTAACTTCGTCGGTCGGTGGATGTTTTTATGGTTACAATAAAAATTGGCATTGTTACACTCCGCGACGATCTAAAAAAAACGAAATGAACCAGTAAAAAATCGGAATACCGTAAACAATTAATTCAACATCCCTCTCTCTCTCTGCCGCGGTTCTCGTAGTGAATGCCCTGCCTTGCCTCTGCCGGCAAGTTTATTTTGACTCCTGCTACCCTCGCTCCGCTGCATTATGTCGCAGGGCACAACACCGTACGAAGGGAAATGGTAGCATAATCGTAATAATCGTAACAAATCCTGGATTGTTAGGCCGATACATTCTGACAGCGCGTGTGTATGGTTTAGATGACTGCCCACCTCTTGCATTCACAATGATTGACTGGCGGGCTTGCAGCCCCCGGCTCGAGGGACCTCCTTACAGCGAAACTCACCTCTCTCTACGTGCGCAAACGCCGCGCCTGACGTTGCCTTACAACAGAAGCGTAACAACGGTTTGCTGGCTGACTTGTGTATAGCTCTAGATCGCACTTTAAATCGCGGAGTGTCTTACTCTTTGCCCTGGAGAAAAATAAATAAAAATAAAGCGACGTTGCCCGAAACCGTCAACCCCATTATATACAGGATATGTTTTCTGTTGTAAGGGCACTTTTTTTTTCATGCGAGCGCGGATAGGCGTTTCTGTTTTTTTTTAACGCTCAACAACAATCCCAAGCGCACTGCGTCTGCATTGCCAGCCTGCGCGTCCGGTAACGTCGCTGCCAGCACGGCCTAGTCGAGGTGGTACGCGCGTAGTTGTTTCCGTGGACGCCGTGCACAGCTTGTGAGTGTACAGGTGACGAGAGTTACACAGCAACGTGTGGGGCTCACGCGTCTGGCACTCTCAACACTTCAAGACAGCCGGGCCCTTGTGGTGTTTTTTTTTTGTTGTTTAACCTCCCGTAAATCGAGAATCTCCCGCGTTCGTCGTGAGCACTGCCTCGTGCCAGCCGCAAATATATATATAGACTAGGCTAACGTTTCGGGCAATGTGCCTTCTTCGGAGCAGAACAATGACTGATAAAGCTGAATATCGCACTCGGAACCGTGCAGTTGACACGTGTGTGTGTGTGCTTGTACAAGCCACGCCAAAGATCCCCGTCCAGCCTTTAGCAGACTGTTGGGGCAAGTGCTGTGAGCGAGTAGCATCTGTGAAGGTCGGAACGGCACACGATAGGGGTGGGGTGGCCAATACCACGCCCGGCCGCCTTTGTCTCCCTAGTGGCGATTTTCACACACCGCACCAGGTACTAATGTGAGGTTGCGCCGCACAAAGACAAAGATCCCCCGTATCGACTTCGACAGACTTGGGGCAAGTGCTGTTAGCGAGCACCTTTGAAGGCCTGCACGCGGCACACGAGAGGGAGGGAGGTGGTCAATACCACTCTCGGCCGCCTTTGTCTCCCTTGTGGCGATTTTCACACACCGCACTAAGTACTAATTTGGGGCTGAGTCGACCTAAGGAAGGCCCAGGACCGGTTCAGAGTATCGTCACTGGTGTTGGCCGTGAGCGGGAATCAAACTGGGGTGGCCGAGTTGTAAGCGCAGCGTAGCGCTAACCACCGCACACAAAGACAAAGACCCCCCGTATAGGCTTACAGACTGTTGGGGCAAGTGCTTTGAGCGAGCACCTATGACGGTCGGAACGACACACGAGGGAGTGGGTGGCCAACACCACCCCCGGCCGCCTTTGTCTCCCCAGTGGTAATGTTTACACACTGGGGCCAGGTACTCATTTGAGGCTGAGTCGACCCAGGGGAGGCCCAGGACGGGTTCAGATAATCGTCACCGGTGTCGCCCGTGAGCGGGAATCAAACGCGGGATTGACCTACCGCTCCCCACACACGCGCGGACACGAGCGCGCCGTGCCCCGCGACCTTTTAATCGGTAGGTGCCCGCGAATAAACAGTGCCCCTCGCCCAGACTGCGGCCGCTGCAAGCCTCTCCTCCTGTCCGCCGTGCAGGCTCCTGAACGAGGGCGAGAAGCGGCCGTTCGTGGAGGAGGCGGAACGCCTGCGCATGCAGCATAAGAAGGACCACCCCGACTACAAGTACCAGCCGCGGAGGCGGAAGCAGCAGGGCAAGGGTGACGGTGCCGACACGAACAGCGCCGAGCCGGGTCCCCCGCAGCTGCAAGCGCGTGCCCTGGGGGGCGCCTACGTGCATCTGTCTGGCCCGGGAGACGCGGCCCTTCTCGACGTGCACGGCCCCCATCACGGACACGTGGCAGGTGCGCGGCGATACGCACACCCGGGCGCATTCATCTGGGAGGCCAAGGAGTCTTGTGATTTAGACTGGAGGGATCCGACGAGATGGCGAAGCCCGTTTGTTTACCGATGTTCCAGTAAGTCGTCGTCGTCGTCGTCAGCCTTGAATCATCCACTGCTGGGTGAAAATCTCTGCCCCACCACACCGTAGCCACATCTCCGTTTAGCACAGTTGGCTACGTACGGTGCGAAATAAGTTCAACGTACACACATAAACTAAACCCGCGAGGTAATGATTTCAGCCCAGACGCGCACAACGATAGCGCGAAAACCTAATGTTGAATTTAATTTTCACTTAATCGCACGTAAACTCTGGCTCTGGAAGCTAAACAAATGTTCGCTTTGACAGCTGTGCGACGAACACACTCCAGGCGATGTCAGAAGCAGTTCTGTGAAATCACCTTCAGCGGGACGTTTGCTACCACGGGGTATTGCTCTGCGAGAGTTGCGCGTGGACACTTGGTCTGTTGGCATGAGACTGGTAGTACAGTTGTAATAAAACTGAATTAATGGGAATACGAACAAAGGTATCATCATCGTTCGGCCATGATCAATCCACTGCTGGATGAAGGCATTCCAATGCCGCTGGCGGCACTCAAGATCCCGTGGTGCATCAATCCACCTTTCTCCGTCACACGAGATGAATTGATCGCTCCATCTCCTCCGTGGACATCCTCTCCACCAGCGGGTGTATGTGATTGCGCTTAGCTGCTGCTGCCGATGATGATGATAATAATTAAAAAATATGAAACATTTTCATTAAAATAAACCACTTTAATTCCATTGGTGATACCGACGTCAAGTCACGAGATGAACAAGGCAACTTGGAATTCGGGAACGGCCCGCAGAAGGTGATTTAACAGAACTCCTTCCGAAATCCATTTCACGTTTTAGAACCCGACTTTTAGGCGAGACGCCACCGGAACTATGCACTTTAAAATGAAGATTGAAAACTCATTTCTTTAAAACTGCTTTTTGTGTTCGTTTATTATCCTTTCGCCGCACCTCCGATATGCACGGTCGACTACGTACGGTGGGAAAGAATTTCAACATACAGTAAAACCTTGGATTGCGAGTAACTTGGTCTTCGAGTGTTTTGCAAGACGAGCAAAATTTTTAAATAAATATTAATTTGATAAACGAGCGAGGTCTTGCAATACGAGTAGTACGTATATGCTTTGTCTGCCGAGCGTCACGTGATCACGACTGATATACGAGTGCTTTGATATACGAGTGCTTTGGATTTAAAACACTTTCTGGAACGAATTATGCTCGCAATCCAAGGTTTTACTGTACATACAATTCGATATTATAATTCGTGTTTATCGTTGGCGGCTGGGCCGAGTCCATCAACTAACCGCACACACGAGAATTCAGTTTAATTCATGGGGCTGATGGCACCCGAGTTGAAACTCCTCTTCTCCCGTCGTGTTGGCTCAGCGCTCTGACCCCAGAGGTTGCCAGCACGCCTACTCAATCATAATCAGGGTCAAGGTCGAGGGGTCATAATGGATGATGCCACCACACCTCGTCATCACGCTTCCTTCTGATAAGATTCCACAGTTGTTGCACAGTCAATGCCCGACTTCCTAAGGTCTGATCTTGTAGTCTACTAATCAACGCCACTTTATTACGCAGTCGACAGGTCCTTTACTGATCACCAAAGCTGTCTCAACATCCATGTAGATTTGACTTCAGGTCCTCTCCTCGATCGCCCACTCTCTCGGTCACCTGACCCGCACACACGTCTCCCTACCACCACTATCAGTGCCTTCTTGCCACGTGTTAGTCTCAATTCCAAAGTTGCTTCTCCTTCATTGCCATTAAATTCGCTCAACATCGATAATAAATTACGTGAATGATGATGTGTGCGTTTGGCTTACGAGCGTCGATTCTGGCCATTCTGTAGCGCGTATAGAACGACGCGTGTACCTCAACGCCAACTGGGAAGTCCGTACTCCATGCACGATTGCCTCTCCATCAATGTCATACATGCAAGTCTTACCAGCACCTCTGCATCATTTGTCCCACACCTCCACGCCCTTTCATTCGGTTCACGTTGTTCTGCAATGTGCATGTTTAATGACAACGTTGATCATTTTAACACGTAGGTTTTCGCGACCAATATTACCTACGAGAGGGTTTCGTTTGGGCTAAATGGCGTACATATAAATGTGTCGTTAAACCCGCCACCACCCGACACATTTATACCTATGCGATCTCATCCAAAGCAACCTCTTATGGATAACGTTGATCATATCGTTGCTGCTGATGATCGTGATTGTGACGATGACGGCAGGGATGATTATGATGGGCGGTGGCGGTGACGACGACCTTGAAAATAACGACCGCGGTAAAGACGACGACGAGGACGACGAGGACGGTGACGGCGATGACGAACCCCAACAAATGCCCTCGCTCGCAGGTCAACCCCAGAGCCCCCCGACGCCACCGAACACGCCCAAGACGGCCGACCACGGCCCCCCGGGCAAGGGCCAGGGCAAGCGAGGCCACGCCGGGGGCGCCGCAGCGACGGGCGAGGGGCCCCGGCACCCGAGCCTCGACTTCCAGACCATCGGCATGGGTGACATCGCGGCCGAGGCCATCTCGGGCATGGGCAACTTCGACGTCAACGAGTTCGACCAGTACCTGCCCCCCAGCGGGCACTCGTCCGTCATCGCCACCAACTCGGCCGCCGCGTTCGCCGCGGGCGGCTTCGGTGGCGCCGTCGGCGGTGGTCCCAACGCCTCCGCTTCCTCCTCCGCCGCCGCCGCCGCCGCAGCAGCCACCGCAGCGTCCTCGCTGGGGCAGGTGGCCGCGTGGGCTCCGGCCAAGAGCCCCGTGAGCGGCGGAGACCGCGAGCGAGATGGCAGGGAGAGGGCGAGGGGTGGCGGTGGTGGTGGCGGCGGTGGTGGCGTGAAAACGGAGCAGCAGCAGCAGAGCGTGAGTCCGATCCGCTACTCGGCACACTACCAACCCCAGCAGCAGCAGCAGCAGCAACAGCAGCAGCAGCAACAACAGGTCGGCTTCGGCTTCCAAAGCCACCACCCGCACCACCACCACCACCAGCAGCAGCACCACCACCACCAGCAGCAGCATCAGCAGCAGCAGCAGGCCTATGCCGAGCTGCAGGGCGTCCAGCCTCCCAGGGGCTCCCAGCTGCCGGACCTCGTGGCCGCGGTGGCGGCCGCATCGGCCGCGCACGCCGAGCACCACCATCACCACCATCACCTGTCGGGGGCGCCTCCCTCCTTCTACGGGCAGGGTTTGTACCCCGCCGCGTTCCCGCACTACCTGCACGGGACGGCTCAGAGGCCCCTCTACCCGCCCGTGCCGGAGGCGACAAGCCCATCGCCCGCGCAGTCACACAGCCCTCCCCAGCACTGGGACTCGACACCCGTGTACACGCAGCTCAGCCGCCCGTGAGGGTTGTCGAGAGGGGATTTGTGTGGTTTGGTAAAGGGGAGATTGTGGCCGCGGGTGGCGAGGGGGGTTGGGGTGGGGGTGCAGTAACCAAAGGAGACACGGAGTGATTGTTGCTGATTTATTAGAGGCTTTGTTTGGGGATGGTGGTCTCTGCGGACGCGAGGTGCCGGAGACCTGTCTGCTACTACTACTGCTACTACCGAGTGGTCGAGGAGAGCGAGAGGAGGATTCTGGATTCGTAGGTGCCCCTTGCGAGCGGCTGTATATTCCTCGTTGTTTTAGATTCACTGTAATATTAATGATGATGATTTAAAAACACAAAAAAATACGAATTACCGTTCCAAATGGGGGCGGGTGTTTTTAAAGTATTGGAATGGAGACGGAGGTGGCGATGGGGCCGCAGGCGTTCCAGCCGCGCAATTGACACGGGAGTCGGGAATAATTCAAGGAGGTTTTTCTTCTTCTCGTTCTTGAACGACGTCGGGGGTAACGGGAAGACAACGGGTGCCCGTGTGTGTGTGTGTGCGTGTCTGTCTGTCTACCAGCGGCGGTTTCGTCAACGTTTGTATTCACCACCGACGTGCCTATAGTGTATATATATACACACAACACTGTAAAAATAAGACGGATAACCATTTGACTTATCCAGGAAAGCCTCACCGAGTCTCAAGCCCCATATTCAGGAGGGTCATCCGTGGGGATGTTTGGCCAATTCCATGATCGAGTACCGTATAAATGTTATATGCAATCGACAAATACCGTATTCTCTGGATTATACGACACACTTGTGTGTTTTTTGTGTCTAAGAATATTAAAGTAAAAATTGCCGTTGTGGGGTTGCGCGTATTATATAATCTTGCATTGTCGTGTGCGAGCGAGTGACCAGATTTGCATAACTTTATTGACACCCAGTACAAGTTTTATTTTGGGTTGTGGGATGCTTGCGTCTTACTTTCCGGAGCGTCTGATAATCCTCAGAATACGGTAGCGCAGATCGTCCTGCAAGGGCGTCGCGGAGTCCAGAGGACTTATCTCGGCGAGGGAAACCGAGTGCGCGCAGTGCCTTTCCACAGAGAAGGGGGTGGAGGCCGTGAATACACCACCTCCGCAACGACCCTCACCAAATGCATTCTTCCAAGTTCCTCGTCGGGAAGGGCGACCTTATGATTGTCCGACGATCAGGCAGGCGTCTGTCGATTTCGTTCGGGTTTGGTCGGTGGTCTGCGGAATTTTTGCAGTGCTCTGAAGTTAGCGACGCGTGGAACTTAACGATGATGAGGTCGGTGGTGACGGGTGACGGATGGCGATCATCGTCATGGACAGCGAAGATATTCGTGATGCTCTCAACAAAGAAGACGACACCACCACCACCACGACAGGCGCCACGGCACGGCACTGAAGAGAATCTGATGTGAAATGCTGCAATCTGTGAAAGTCTTTACCACCCCGAGGGATGAGGAAACGTCGATCGAGCAGGCAATTTGGAACAAGACCGGCTGCTCGACTGTTTATAAGCTATAACTGTTCTGCCAAGACTGGAGCCCGACGTAAAAAGAAAAAAATCATCCAAGACCAACGTGTAAGTCTTCCAGCAATCAGGCGGCAGACGTAACGATGCAGCGATGCCAACGTTTAAACTTTATATTAAATAAAAACACACACGCACACGAAACAGCTGCTTCGTATCTCGTAAGCTGTCCAACACGTGTTGTGAACGTGCGTTAAATGAGATCTAATAAATAAATGCAAAAGATACTCGCACAATGTAAATTGACCTCGCCATGGCCTCCAATGACACCGCTGTAGACGTGGCCCACGACACGCGCCGGGGCGATGGTGAAGACTTATTTGCAGGGCATATAACCCCGCCGTGTACAAGTCGTCGGCGTTGTTCGCGCCGATGAAAGAGCACCTCTAAGGAAGCAAGTTCGGAAGTGTGGGAGAGCCGTCCGCTTGACACGGGGGGGGGGGGGGTGTGATGCAATGCGAGCCCGCGAGCGAGTTCCCAACAGTCGATGCTCTTCGTCCTGAGAACGCGGCGCTGATTGCGCAGTCGAAATGTATAAAATGGGGAGAGACAAATTCCAGGCGCGCGCAGAAAAAAAGCCATTCGTATAAATTACAAGAGGGCTGAAAATATTCGCAGTCACGCTTACAGGGCGCGTCGCTGGAGACTTTTAAAGTGCCTTGATGAACAGCTTTAGCGACGTCCGTCTGTACCCGACGGGAGGCAATGCAACTCGCGTAAAGATGATCCGATATGAACCAAACTTTTTGTTGTTGTTGTTTATGTAAACCTGCGTTGCTATTGGGGGGGGGGGGGGGTACGGGGGAAGCTTTCGGAAGATACAAAAAAACCGGCCAAATTAATGCGAGCGATGCCTAAAACCTCCTGGATACCCCCCTCCTCCCCCCCCCCAAAAAAAATGAACAAACCCCAGCGATAACGATGGGTCCCGCCACGGCATCTCGGCCCGGCCTGGATGTGCCGCTACCCTAGCCGCGTTGTCTCCTCGCGGGCGTAACGCGACCCTCCTTGCTCCGTTGACGCTGGGCGCTGGCGCGTTATCATCTCCAATTGAAAGACTCGCCGCGAGGAGACGGCGCGCGTGTTGGAGAGTGTTAGAGGACGTAGCCTTTGGCGTACGGCATGCGGTTATTTGTTTTGTCTCTCGGTTGAAATAACTCGTTGTCGAACAGCTCAAGGTGTGTGTGTGTGCGTTTTTGTCCGGATTTCGTCTTGCGTTAAGTTTACGCTTAAGAGTAATCCTCCACTTTTACCAGCACTGTGCATCATCATCATCATTGATTGCCATGAGCCATGGTCTATCCACTGTTGGACAAAGGCCTAACCTGCTTGCCGTCTTACGATGCCACAATCCTTTGTCAGCCCAGCACGGGAGTTGAACTCATCGAACAACCGCCGCAAGGGTCGTATTATTTTCCAGACGTGTTTTCCCTCCATTAAAACGTAGGCTTTCGCGACCAATATCATACGTGATTTACGCGATCTAACACCCTCTATTGTGGGTGTTTTCCCTCCTTTGGCTGTCGCTCTGTTTACCAGTCTCTCGACAATCGACCAATGTCCCTTCTTTTTTTAAATGTGTGTCGGTGTGTTCCGCCAACACAGTAGTGCAGTGGTTAGCGCGCTGCGCTGCGAACCTGGAGACCCGGATTCGATTCCCACTCACGGCCAACATCGATGAGGTTTATCTGAACCGGTCCTGGGCCTCCCCTAGGTCGACTCGGCCTCAAATTAGTACCTGGTGTGGTGTGTGTAAACATCTCCACGGAGGAGACAAAGGCGGCCGGACGTGGTGTTGGCCACGAACCCCCTCGTGTGCCGTGCCGGCATTCATAGGTACTCGCTAACAGCACTTGCCCCAACAGTCTGTTCAGGCTATACGGGGTATCTTTGTCTTTGTTCGCCAACACATCTCACGTCAATACGATGTCTCTGGTTGTGTATGTGCGTGCGTTCTCCTTTCTGCCTGTTTGTGTGATTTCATAGAATGCATTGACCCTCGGTTATCTCGTAACTTGTGTTACCCCTTTCTCTGAACATTGTCCATGTTCCTTATCCAACCATTCTTTTTCAGGGGCGCCGCGGTGGCTAGGAGATGTTAACTACCTCGCCTGGTATACAGGAGGTCGTGGGTTCGATCCCGACCTTGCTGTATATTTGGAGTTTTGAATGTTCTCTCCGTGGTCGCGTGGATTTTTCTCCGAGTCCTCCGGTTTCACCCTCCACATTTAGAATGAACATCACGCGCTTAGAGTATTTGGCTGCTATAAAGGTCCACATGATAAGCCACTGCACTGGGCTATACAGCTCAGTGGGTCTTTTTAAATCACTCCAAACTGCTCTATTTCACCTTTAGTTACTATTTTTTTTTAAACTCCCGAGCCGCCTTCAATCATCACCCGAGGGTACACATCAACCTTCTCTGTGTTAGCGTCACGAGGGACGGGCAATTGACTCTATCCCAAAGGAACCACAGTATGAGAGGCATTCCCCCTCGCGGTTCATTCACAATCTACATTTAATACAAATTATATACATTTATTAATATACTGTATAGAATGCCACATATTGTTTTGTTTATATACACACACGACCGATTTATGTCTATGTATGTAGTTGTCAATGCCTTGTTATTGTCGTTATAGTCTATTGTTTTCAGTGTATAATTGGGATACGCGCATTTCATCAACTGTGGCAGAAGTATGATTTCCTATAAGCGGGGCCATCTATAGGAAGGGGGGGGGGGGGGTGCGGGGCCTGGGGCAACTCACACACCACGTGGGCTCCCCACCGACGCCTTCAAACTCAACCAAAAGGATGATATCTGACACCGTGACGTCGAAGCGCAGCCCCGCCCCCTCCCCCCCCCCCCAAAAAACGCGGGGCCCTGGGCGGTCGCCCCAATTCGCCGTACCCCTAGGGATGGCTTTGTCCATTAGGATCCTCTGTGAGGACAAGGCAGTTTAATGAGTTATGTGTTCTTCTCCTCGCCGTTCAATGCACGGCCTCTGTTGCGTAAACATCGCACGCACGCGCGCACGCAGGCACGTACACACACACACACGCGTGTTCGTCGGGGGATAGAGTTTCCCAAACTCCAGTCCGAGCGATCCAGCGACACGCTCCGTCTTTCCGTTCTTACCAAATCACTGCCATTTCAAATACCAATCAAAGCCGTTCGTTCCACGGCCGCACGCGCCGGATGATTGTTAAACTAAATTATATATCTTGATTCGAAGCTTTCGTGACGGCAGGAATCCATACTCTTTGGTTCTTTCGGTAAAGTCACGTAGGTATAAAATAAAATACATTACGACGTTTCGGGCGCAACACAAGCTTCCATCATCAGGTGGGAAAGCATGGTCTGCTGCTGAGGCAGACTGTTTTAAAAGGTTGATGGACGCTTGTGTTGCGCCCGAAACGTCGTGATTTATTTTTATTTATACTTACGTGACTTTACCGAAGAGTATAAATTATATATAAATTATATACCAGGTAAGGCCCACGTGCCTCGCTGGTTGCGTCACGTGGAACACGTGTACATGCACACACACGAAGATCTCACTCTTAATTTGAACCGACTTTCCGATGTGTGTGTGCGTGCGCGCGCGTGTACACGTGTGTACCACGTGCCGCAGATGCCGTTGTTAGCTTAGCGCGTCACGTGGCACGCGTTTAACGAATCATCGGGCGCGTGCGGCTTAATGTGTATTTGGATGGGAGTGAATTGGTAAACGTGGAAAGACGAAGTGATGTGGTAGTGTATCGCCAAGACTGGAGTTTGGTCAACCTTTGATCGTCACCAGAGGGGTTCCGTCTCGTATGAAGACATTCCTATGTGGAGGACTTGGCATATGCAGCATAATAAATACATGGGATGGTACGCAGTGCTTAATTTCAGCCAGAACAGTCCAGAAGGCTGCTCCGGAGAAGTAATTTGGCACCCTGCCAAAGCCATGTCGCCTTATTTTGTCGTCGCAATTGTTCAAATAAACCTTTCCATAGGATTATAGGAAGTGTAGGGTACAATACACACTTTGTGTAGGATTGCTATGGATAGGCATACCTTGATCTGTAGTTGTAGTGCCTTACGCCCCGTAATGCACTACAACAGCCCATGCGCGTACACAGGGCATTATTTTCTCACGAAAATATATTTTCGCCCGCCCCCCGCCGCACCAATCCCAAGCCCCGCCATGGTGATGGTGGTGGTGGGGGGAGGTATTTTCTAGCGCTCAGCCCCGGAGTGCTCCGTCTGAAAGTAAGCGGTGAAGTTCGTGTACATTGTGCATGGAAATATACAACGCACGTGCTGTGCACATCGCCCGTTGCCTGGGTCATCGACACGCCACGCCTCGCGTGCGCGACCCTCAAAGGAAGTGTTCACGCGCTGCACGTGCCAGATGATAGCTACACGCTTCCCACATGATGTTAGAGAACGATGATTCGATTGAAGATACCGATCTTTGTGTGTGTGTGCGTGCGCGTATTCAATTCAACTCCCCCCCCCCCTCCCAGTTCGATTCGCGCTCACAATCAATAACAGCGTCGAATATTTGAACCGGTCTTTACGTGAGTACCCAGTGTATGGTGTAAAACACCAGCACGAGGGAGACAAAGGCGGCCGGGCCTGGTGTTTGTCACACACCCCGGTCTTGGTAGGTGTTCGTTAACAGCACTTGCGTCAAACGTCCATTGTGTACCACGCCTGGCGTAGAGGGCCATCATTCATCCTTTACGTCGCGGGACAAAGACAAAGAATCCCCGTGTAGCCTTGGCATGCGTTTTGGGACAAGTGCTGCTAGCGAGCACCTATGAAGGCCGGCACACTCGTACGCACTTACACACTGCAGCTCTTACACGCGCACGAAATGGCAATGTGAATGGGCATTCTCTGCGTTCCCCGCGGTGTTTGCGGGCGGGGGGCGTGGGGGGTGTTTAACAATCATCGGACACGTGCAGCGTGTAATGCCCCGACCTGTATTCGAAAGGGAGGAAGGAGAATCGATGTTGGATGAACACTTTGTTTGTGTAAACACATTTTTTTTTAAACGCAAAGCGATTTCATTGGGAAAGGCATTAAAGATTACAACTCAACACATTCGCTCAAAACACTGGCTTTCCAAATTAAATGAATACAAAAAATATTAATAGACGACGTTTCGGGCACATGGGCCCTTCTGCGCAGCACATATGCCGGAGAGGTTACACATTTGCAAAATAATTCAAATGAAAAAACATGAGAAGGTGCTCCGTTCTCAGTGGTGCACAAGCACAAATGATCATTAATGTTTTTACTACGTGTGTCATTAACACTGCCCTGCTGTACTGCATACGTCCCTCTTATAAACGAGTGTTAATGCCAAACAGTAATATTTTATTATTTTATATACTGTACATGTGGCTCAAATCGTTTAGTGGAATATGTTGGCAGGTAGAGAGAGAGAGAGTGCGAGCGAGAGAGAGAGAACTTTGGGATGTGTACATCCCTCTGTGTGATGACTGCCACAAATGAACGCAACCGCCCCAGGCATCCATGCGGGAAATAACCAAAGCGTACAGCCGTCTAGGAAGTCGACGGTAAAGAACCCCCCCCCCCCCCAATGCCAACATCATTAGTAAGTGCGCCGCATTACGCGAGAATGACCAAATGCGATTCCCAATCAACGAAGTTGTCTTTGCTTTACAACCAAGCGAGATCGCATTGAGGAGCAACAAGGTTAAATAAAACAACAGCAGCAACAACAACAGTGGCAGATTGTTTATACCCTGCGGGAAAGCCTCGCTGAGTCTCAAGAGTTGTAAACATTCCCACCGTGCAGGTGGGATGTTTGGCCAGGTCCGTGAACGAGTCGGTTTTTGGCTTCCCCCTTTTTGCGGGATGAGACCAGCAGGAAAGAGCCACCACCGCCACTCCTGTGACGCGAGGCAAGCCCCTGGTTGGGTGTCCGCGTCGACTCGCAGTGGGCGGGCTCGAAAAGCCCTGCCGATCGGGAGGAAGCCAAGACGACGATGACGTGGCACAGACGACGGTGACGAGACGCAGACGACGATGACGTGACGCACACGACGGTGACGAGACGCAGACGACGATGAGACGCACACGACGATGACGTGACGCACACGACGGTGACGAGACGCAGACGACGATGACGTGACGCACACGATGATCA